TGAAATGGAGGTAACAGCAGCACCCACATCATAGAATGGCTGCAAAGATGGAACGAGACAGTGAGACTTCTTTCCACAGGCGGAAGGGCCTGGCACGTGGTAGCTATTTCCTTACCGTGTGTAGCTTATTTGACGCAAATGTGTCCTGCCATTCTGTCAGCTCATGCCTGTCTTCCCCTCACCCCCACCCCCAGCCTTAAGTCACGCCTGTGGAAGGGAACACCTGGTCATCCCAGCAGGGGCCAGAGGAAGGTCAGCTCCCAACGAACAGAGGAGACTAGGACTCAGGGTCGGGATCCAGGTTTGGGATTCTCAATCTCCTCAATTATTTGGTACTGATGTTTGAGGCTCAATTTGACCTCCTCCGAGCCTAAACGACGTCTTAGGAGAAGGATTGCTAAGCAGTAAAAATCCTTTCTAGAAAGCTGGCAAATCAACAGGGAGCCTGCTTGCATCCCCACACAGTGAGCCAAGGTGCCCCGTGTTGGCCTCCGTGGAAGAGACGCTGCTTGGTGTGAGCAAGCCTGGGCTGTTGCCCGCTCACACCCACCCGCTGCACCTTTCTCTACCTAATTTCTTGAAGAGGTGTGAACAAACGAGCCAGTCACTGAAACTGATCTCAATTTACTTGGGTTCAAAGGGAAGAACCATAGGCTCTGCTGGCTGGAGGGAGCCTCAGGGGTTCATCGATGTCAAGCTCCAGTCTCTGAATTCAGCTCACTTCAGAAATAACAGCCTCTACCCACTCCTGAGCGTGGGAAGAGACCTAGAACAGCATTGTTCAAACTTTAAGGTGAATTCAAAATGCAGATTCTGATTGAATAAGAGCAGGGTGTGCTGAGATTCTGCATTTCTCAGGAGCTGTCAGCACCTGCGGCACTGCTTGGGTCCATGGGCACACACACCTTGAACAGGAAGGCTTGCTGCCCTCAGAAGCTCCTGCTTTAAGAGGGAAGTGCAGTATGTGGGCAGACTGAGCTCTTGAAGGCAGGAGATAGTTGATTTTCCCCACCCGCAGTGTCTAACCACATTGTCTGATACCATCATAGACAATATTTGCTGGCTGGGTGGCTGACTGGCTGGCTGGATGGATGGCCAGAAACATATAGAGGGATGAGTGAGTGACTGCAGATCCTGAGATCAAATGCACAATTAGAAACAACTAGCGGCAGGGCACCATGGCTCACACTTGTAACACCCTCCCGAAGCACTTTGGGAAGCCGAGGCAGGCGGA